AAAAAAAAAGACAAGAAAAAAGAAACTATAAGAAAAGTAAACATTTCTCCTGAAGCGCCTTACAGTCTAGTTTGCAAATACAATCAGTCCTCATAAAACAACCTGAAAATGTCATAATTTTTAAAATAAGGCAAGTATGTGTTAAGCTGTGGTACTTTGGGACATCCAGAAAAGGAAACCTAAGGAGCAGTTTTCCCATTAGCAAAATACCCCAAATGAAGACAATAACCCTATTGCTCCCAGGGGAAGCTCTACCTGCTTTCTATATCCAAAGCATTAACTACTCCCTTTGGTTATTGACAGTGGTTATCTCACAAACTATTCCTATTGGAATTGTTGAGGTTTTTTTCTTTTTGGTTTTTTGTTTGTTTGCTTGCTTGCTTTCATTTCTCATTTACATCCACAGTTTTTAAAAATCAGTAGTATTGCCAGGCATAGTGGTACACATCTGTAATCTCACTTACTCAGGTAACTGAGGCAGGAAGATCAAGAGGTGAAGCCCAGCCTGGGCAGCATAGTAAAACCCTATCTCAAATATCTGGGACCGGGGTTGTGGCTCAGTGGCAGAGCACTTGCCTAGCGTGCGTGAGGCCCTGAGTTCAATCCCTGGCACCACATAAAAATAAAAGCAAATAAAATGAAGGTATTGTGTCCATATACAACTATAAAAAAAAAGAAGAAATTTTTAAAAAATAAAATAAAAAAATAAAAATTGCTGGACTAGGGATGTAACTCAGTGGGAGAGCACTTGCTTAGCATGCACAAAACTCTGGGTTCAGTCCACAGTACCACAAAAAAATGCAAATAAAATTTTAAAAATCAGTCATGACACTGGGCATGGTGACACACACCTGTCATCCCAGTGACTTAGGCAGAGGCAGGGGGATCACAAGTTCAAAACCAGCCTGGATAATTTAATGAGACCTGTCTCCAAAAAAAGCTGGTGTTGCAGCTCAGTTGTAGACCATCCTAGGTTCAATCCATAGTACAATTCAATTGTACTATGAATTTTTGGGTTTTTTGTTGTTGTTGTTTTTTAAGAAAAAGAATCTCATTATATTACCCAGCTGGCCCCAGACTTCAAGATTCAAGCCATCCTCACACCTCAGCCTCTCGAGTAACTCACCATTGCACATGGCTACTGTGTGTGAGTCAGAAAAGAAATTAGTAGTCCTGTGTCCCACTCTTCCCCTTCCCCAGTTTTGTTTTCTAGTGGTTTCCTCAGATAGTTACCTTCCTGGATACATACAAAGTGAAAGAGAGTTGGGCAAGAAGAAAGGAAATTGATATTTGTTGAATTGCTAATACACGTATCAGGCACTTAGCTAAGTACTTTCACATACAAGGTGAACACAGAAACTTGCTGTGTTATAAACCTTTACTTTCTGGTGAAGATGTTTCTATGGACAGAGGGACCCAGGGATGCATGAAGCAACACACTCCTGTGGAGCTCCTAAGCCAAAGGAAGACCCAAGAAGGCCTTTTCCTGGTCTGGCCCTACTTCATGATCTGAGTTCTCTGGGTTCCATAACTTCCATGTCAGCTGATTGCATTGCTTTTATTTGTAATTCTCAGTGTCTCAATTTTCAGTGGCTCAGCATTATAAAATCTTCTGTATAGAAGAAGGAACTTAACCTGTAAAAGAGCCCTATCTGGAGACCTAAGCCCATTAGCTTCCTCTTTAGGCATTATTGTGTATTCTCTCTTGCCCAGTTCTCTGCCTCCTTGCTCCTGGAAGCTCTCATACTTTAGAGAACATCGATTACTTAGCACCTTCCAGAAACAGAATTGTTATTTTTTCTCTTACACACTTTATATGAGTGTTCTTATTACCACAAATCTCATTTGCTGCCAGTCTGATTTGGAGTGCCTGCATTTTTCTCAGCTTCTTAGTGTACTGTCCAAGGACCAGCATGGCCCAAGCTTCACTACATTCAGAAGGGTTCTTATGGGACTCTCCTTCCGGGTCAGCACACTTGACTCAAGGCCAGGACCAGTTTGTCTGAATCCCAACATTCCAATTGTGCCCCCCTCACCCCCACCAGAGGCTTCTGCAGCTTTTTACTCATACAAACAAAAATAAATCTCACTACCGGCCTCTGAACTCCACAGCAGCATGCTTCCCTCTTCTCCCCAAGTGTCCCATGACTGTGAGTGGGGACTTGGCACCCTCCCCATCGACATCACTTTTTCACTCCCTGCGCATCCTGTGTCCTTCTCTCACCGTGCGACCCAGAGATCAGAATGGGACGTGACGGCCGGCACAGGCGCCGTGCACAGCTGCCAGGAATCTGACGGGTAAAATCTGGAAAAGTTGGGAGGGCAAATGCTAAACACACACACACATACACACACACACACACAAACAGAGCCACTCAGAAAGGACCGGAAACACAGACACCCATAGAAGAGTGCCTRTGGACTCCTGAGCCCTCTTTGGCCTTCCATTCTTTTTAAGAGGTCTAAGCCTGCCCACTCAAGACCCACTGGTACCCCAGGAAAAGAGATAGCAGCCTTGTCTAATCTCCTAGGACTCTATGAGGGCATGTGGGGAACAGGAAGCAGTTGTGTGGTGACTCACTAGGCAGAGCCAGGTTAAGGGAAGTTGTCTGCGGGCGTCCCTGGGACCGGATGAGGGCAGCCTAGCTTGGACCACCCACACACAGCTTGGCCCTGCCCCATCCCCAGGAATCAACAAGGCTGCCACCACCCTAAGAGGCTAAATTCAGTTCACCTTTCTGGTCACCAACCAGAGCTCTAAGAACCCAGGGAAGTTAGCTTCCCTGGACCCTGCTTCTAGATTTTGCTTCTTCCAGTCATCAGGATATCCTAGGAGGCTCATTCTGCGCCCCCCCCCCTTGGCCACTTGACTTAAAGGCCCTTCTGCCTACTGCCAGCATAGAAGTAGGATGATACAAGCCTTAGGAGCTCACTGTTTACAGAGGGTGAAAAATGGCAGCCAGTTCCACTTCCTTGCTGGAGCCAAACCAGGGCTGAAGTGTCATTTCTCAAGGCAAGAAAACTGAGATGCCATTCTCAGTAGGACCTGGGCCTCTGTCACTACACAGGTGCTGGTATCCCCCATCCTCCTGAGCCATGTGGCAGTGCTTGTTCTGTTCCCTTACTCAGGAAGACAAGAGAGTTGGGGCCTAGAGTACCAGGAAAACCACTCCTGGTATCAGAAGAGCTAGATGGAGAATGGAAGCCTGGGGAAAGGAGGAGTGGGAATGCTGGCATTCCTCTGCATGAAGAGGAATCACAAGCTGGTCACTGAACCTGAATTGGGACCATTTCATGTTCTTATAAAATGCCCAAGTCAAAATTGGTGGACTTGTGTTACCCTCTCAATGACAGCCTTCTGGGGAGGGGCAGTGATCCAGGACCCCTGGGAAGGTGGTTGGCAGCAGTGGTACTTCCCCTCATGAGGTGAGATTGGTAGGAAGACTTCAGCAGCCTGGGCCTCTTGGCTGCATTTCTCATGCTGCCAGTACCCTGTGGCCTGTACCTTCCACCAGCTGTGGTGGCAGTGGCAGCAACAACTTACTCATAGGGAGAGGTCCCTGGTAGGTCACAGAGAAACCACCCCCATCATTTGAAGGTATGCCCTTTCAGTTTTACTGTCACTGTCAGTGAACCCTGAGCAGCCTTCTCACTGACTGTTAGTGGCCAGGCCTAGCATTGTGGGCCCCATCCCAGTTGGCACGCACATCCACTCCCCCTGCCTGGTGCTTGTGTGCTGAAGTTGCTGTGTGGCAGAAGGCCATGAGAGGGCGTAAGGAGGCTGAGACCTGCTTGCCTGCCCTGCCAGATTTGTGTTGGTGCCTGCGGGCTCCCTACACAGGGAGCATGCTGTCTGGGCCAATGCCAGCAGATCAGTTCACTTTCTGGCCATGATCCCCAGAAGAGGAAGTAACACAATGATGACCATGTTCTGTAGTGACAGATATACCTAGAGCCTGTCTCCACGGGCCACTGCCACACATTTAAGACTGCCAGACTTGAGAACATTGGGCTTTTGCTTCCCTGAGAGATGGAGCTTCCCTGAGAGATGCAAAAGCCTGTAAAACAGACAAGCCCTAGGCTCTCCAAGAAGTGAGAGGTGGTACTCAGACTATTGGTGCCACGTGAATTCAGTTTTTTCAGTGATGCTGGGGAAGACTCTTCAACTTTTTATCATGGCAGTTCAGCTGCACATGTGTCCAGTAAATATATGACTAGGCTGTCAAAACTTTATATCCTGGATAGGATGTGCTTGAGGCTAAGCAAAAAAAGTGACTTTGACTTAAAGTCAATTTAAAGAAACATGAAGTTAGTGATAGTATCCCTTATACAGGATTGTGGTGGAAAGGGAAAAAAAAAAAAAAACATTTAGGAAACGGGCAAGGCAAGGGGAAGGTAGTGGCAGTTGTGATCAGTCTGGGTATTGCTCTTTGCACACATGTGAGTCTGGTCTTACTTCATTTCACTGCATGGACTCCTGCTGTGGGAGACTGATTATTAGTGATCACCTTAGTCCTGCTGTATAGGTTTTGTATAGGTTTTGAGTTTAATTTCATTGGATTTTTTGGTGAGTTTTTTATAAGTACACAGTGAAGTGAACTGAAATAATGAATTCTGTTCCGGATATTTCTAAATGTCTGGATTGAGAAGTACACTTGTATATGCTACCTGAATAATATCTGTGAAACCCCTTTTATACCCAAAGAACCCAACTCCCTTCTTGATTGTTAGCCTAGGGTCCTACTTTCAGAGTACCATCAGGCTCCTCTTTTGGTCCTAGGCAGGGTTTAGTGATGTCCCATCCCCTGGGCTATTTGGTCACTTTTGATTTTGGTTGCATTCTCATGCTCAGCCCTTGGTTCCGTCTCTTAGGCCTGATAGACTGAGGGGAAGAGGTGCACGGGGGCAGGATGCTGACACACCATTGAGTCAGGGCCCTGGCTTACCCACCAGCTCTCCTGCTCACTCTCTGGCTCCCTCACTATTCTGTGTCCTTTTAGGCTGTCCTGGAGGACCAGAGTCAGATGAGGCAGATGGAGCTGGAGATCAGACCCTTGTTCCTCGTACCAGACACCAACGGCTTCATTGACCACCTGGCCAGTTTGGCGCGGCTGCTGGAGAGCAGGAAGTACATCCTGGTGGTGCCCCTCATCGGTGAGCCGGGTGGGAGGGCAGAGCAGCCTTGCATGTGCACAGCAGCTCCTTCCACAAATGCCCCATGCCCAGGGCCAGGCAGGCGGAGCCCCGCTGTGCATGTGTAACACAGGATTTACAGGGAGGTAGGGAATGTGTGGGGCAAGGAAAATTGTTTAATAATCAAAGCAGTTCAAATTATTATGACTGATCCATGGCTTAAACTGCTTGAGCAAATGGACTCCTGTGTCCCAGCAACCAGTGGCTGCATGAGCCCAGCCCTTGTTTTTATCCTTATAAAGCTTGCAGTAAAACAGCAAAGCTGGTTCCCGTTATTGGTAAACACTCAGCCCTGGCAGATAACGGCAGTGCTGCTGGGTGGTCTGGCAGGGAGGCCGGGAGGATTTTGAAGTGGTTAGATGCCTTTGGTCTGATTGTCTTGTAGCTTTTCATGATCRTTCTGTTGGTTCGAGGTAGCATTCTTCTGGCCAGTGTCACTCTAAGGCCAGGCCGATGGGAGTCCTCCAGAGCAAACCCTTGGCTCATGCCTGTGGATTCTTACCACTTGGGCACTTGCTGCTGTCTGGTCATGGGTGTGGGGTCAGCATCTCAGGACCCATCAAGCTTGCTTTTCCTCCCTCTGGCCAGACGAGCCCAGCTGAGCTACCTTCCTCAGGGGACTGTCCGGGCACCCCTAGTTCTTGGTGGTCTGTCGTGGGTCAGCCTTATGGTGGGCTTTGGGCTCCTGTTGAATGTAGCTGATATAGCTGATGGCTCTACTTTGGAGGCAGAGGGTCTGAGGAGATGATTGCAAAGTCCAGGATTTTTAATGTCCCCCTTTTCAGCAGCCACTTGGAGCAAGTTTGGGAGCCATGTCCTCTGGAAAAGCCACCAGACTGGCAGTCTGCCTGCCAAGCCACCTCTGACATCCATGCCAAGATGTTCCATTGGGCCTTCCCTCCCAGTCCCAAGTGTCTTAGTGCCAGATGGGGGTGGAAACAAAGGGCAGGAAACATCCGCCCCTGCAGAGCCTGTAGAACCCTGGGGGGTTGTGGGAAACACGTTAGCACCACCTGAGAATGTTGGCACTGATGCAGCCCTCCTCCCTGCCTCCACCCTCCCTGTCTTCCTTCCCCCTCCCCATGTGGCCTGGCCAGAGAAACTCTTAAACCCAGGCCCTCAGACCCAAGAGGTTTTCTTTACTTCAAAAGAAGAGCAACTTCTGTCAGTAAGGCAGAGCAGAAAGACCATCACCTTGTCCTGGGCTTCTCATCTCCCTCACTGGGTCCTGGGGCAGGCTGTCTTTCAGAGTATATCTCTATACTTTCCTACCCAGGAAGTTATCATGGGAAAGAAAGTGAATTGGTCACTTGTCTGCTAGATGGTCAGGAAATGGCACAACCAAGAGATCTTGCTGACATCTTAGGAGCCCTCTTAAGACCCACAAGGTACTTCAGATGCCTTCCCAGACTAGCAAGTTTCTTAGTGACCAGCACGAATTATGTCCCTGCTATGTGCTCAGTCTCCTTGTTTCTGAGAGATTCCGTGAAGGACAGAGCTTCAGCCCTTGGCCTTGAGGAGTTTATGGTTTAATGGGGAAATCCAGGCTTGGCGGGGCGGGAACAAACAAGAAAACCTGGAGGATACATGTAGAAAACAGTAGATGAGCCTCAGGGTGCTGAGAACTGACAGCTCTGTTGTAGCCACACAGACTAGCTTTTGTGAACCTGCTTCAGCTCAATAGTCCCCGCACTCAGGGATGCAGGAGGAGGGCTCCTGTTCACCCATGCTTTCCTTGCTGGACCCCTGCCCTAATGCCCAGAGCAGCAAAGAGTTAAGCCGACAACTTTCCCTGCTTGTTTCTTGTGCTCTTTAACCTGCTCTGTGCTCCTTAGGCCTGACCCCAGCGTTGAGAAGTCCCGCCTGGTGCAGAAGCACAAACAAGCTTCCCCTTTGAAGCCTGTTTAGTTTGGAAGCAGGAAAGCAGATTTGGGATAGAATACCAGTTTTTCCTGTTTGATGTTCTGTTGCTGTACCATACACCCCCATCCACCACTACTCCCTAGCCTCAGCTATGCATTATGTGGACATTATAGCCTCAGGTTGTTAAAAGCCTGGGCATCGTGTGTGTGTGTGTGTGTGTGTGTGTGTGTGTGTGTGTGTGTGTGTCTGTCTGTGTGTTTTCACTCTCCCACGTGGGACCTTTCCAGAAAGTGTCTCCGAATACTCAGACAATGAGTGCCAGGCTCACCATGGAACAGTATGCTCATGCCGACTCCCGAAGCCATGAATCATTGTACTAAGAAGAGGCCTCAGACCCCAAACTCTCCCGGAGCCCCCAAGGAGTGCATATTTCCCACTTGACCTCAGGCTTTTGGCTGGAATTTTGGAAAGAATCTTCACCAGAAAATGAAGCCATGTCCCAGACACATAGACAGGCAGGCAAACACACACTATGTACACACACATACACACACACTCACACATACACACATATAGTATCAAGGAAGTACTGTGCCAAGCGAATGGTTTTGAGGAATACCAGGGCCCTAGGAAGTGGGACTAACATGGTGATTTCCCTGTTCTCTGCCAGATGGGTGAGCCATAGTTTTACCCCTCTTGGAACTGTAGTGGTTGGGGATCAAGTAGCCCAAGCAGAATGTCTCACTTTCCCTTTGGTCTCCTGAGAAACCTTCTAATTTGATGCTATAATTAAAAAATGCAATAGAGGGGCCAGGTTTGTTCCTCTGAAGACAGCAGCTCCAGAAAATCCCTCCTGTGTTCCTCCCAGAAAGAAGGTGGAGACCCCAAGAGAAGAAGTAGAAAGGGGATAGGGCACTTTGACTGGATAGGACCTCTCTTTCCCCACAAGCTCCTCTCCTACCCTAATTTCACTGGAAGACTCCTCTGGGAAAGGTGGCTTCTGTGATCTGAAGGGGCTGACTGAGAAAGTGAATAAACAGAGGATGAAAACGACAGGATTGCTAGGGTTGATACCATTTGGGCTTTGTCTCATCAGTGATCAATGAGTTGGATGGCCTGGCCAAGGGGCAGGAGACAGATCACCGGGCTGGCGGTTATGCTCGTGTGGTGCAAGAAAAGGCCCGGAAGTCCATTGAGTTTCTCGAGCGACGATTCGAGAGCCGGGACTCTTGCCTACGGGCTCTGACCAGCCGAGGCAATGAACTTGAATCCATCGCCTTCCGCAGTGAAGACATCACTGGCCAGCTGGTGAGACCCCCCAGTAGGAAGGGAAAGTCCCACAGCCCATTGTCAAAACAGGGGATCCAGAAAGGAGGGACTAAAGGAAGGCCTGCCAACCACGGCAGCTGCCATAGAGGCCTAGGAGTGGGGAGTCCCTTATCTCCTAGATCACTCAGCAGTTATGAGCCAGCCAAGCAGGGCCAGAGCATGCAGGGGAAGGACCCTAGGATGTAGCCCTGGAAACACACCTATGCCTCTTCTGCATGGCGCCCCCTCCTGCCCAGTGGTGCTTCTCACAGTGTCTTCCTCCAGGGTAACAACGATGACCTGATCCTTTCCTGCTGCCTCCATTACTGCAAAGACAAGGCCAAGGACTTCATGCCCACCAGCAAAGGTACAGCTTGGCCTCTGCCTCGGGATCATCCATTTCCCTGCCTTACCTCATCCTACCCGTTCCCAGCCCTCTAAGGACCCGCTGCAAGCCCTGGCCTAGGAAGTCTAAGCAGGATCTATGCAAACTTAAGGTCAGCCCATTTGCTTCCCTCCCTGAGGTCAGGTCTCCCAGTCATACCCTCCCCACCCCCAGGGGATAAATCTGGTGGATCCTGGACAAACTAGAGATGAGCCTAGCCTAGGAAGTCCAGTTCTAGGTAGTGAACTTTCCCACTCAGTCTTCATCCATTTCCTTTCTTGGGGCATCAAGAATGTCTTCATGATTCAGCATAGCTTATTCTGGCTGTGGTCTTCTGAGGACAGACCTCTACAGTTTTGAGGTGCGTGGCCCTTAGTGGGCATGCTCCCTTTTCTTAGTGATACTCACCTTCCTACCCTTCTCAGTGCATCCTGAGTGTTTATATCAGGGCTGGGGCAGAGGGCACTTCCCTAGCAAGGAGTGGGATTTTCTTTCAGGCCTCCATGGCCATGAGCTGTAGCATTTTTTCAGGCCAGTTAGAGTTGGAGGCAAGTGAAAGTTTGAGGGCTGAGCCCACAGCTTAGCTTTTAAAGAATATTTTGGTGAGCACAGTCTCATCTTTGGGCCAGAGGACCTAGGGTTCTCTTCCAAGTGCGTAAACATCTGCCTCAACCCTCAATTTCTTCTTGCACAGCCCCACGGGATCAGTGACACTCAATGGTTTTCTGCTTCTAGTTCTAGACTTTCTTCTTCTCCTCCTTCTTGAAAGAATTCCTAGAACCTCCTAGCTCAGTGTCATCTGCAGAGTTGGTGGCTCTCACCATTTGGTTTCTCTCTCTCTCTCTCTCTCTCTCTCTCTCTCTCCCCCTCTCCTCCTATATATATATATATATATATATATATATATATATATATATTCTTGTCATTTTCTCTCCATCTTTGTCACCCTTCTCTCTCCTCTGTTGGCTCTTTAGCAGTTACTCCTAAAGCGGTTATTCGCCTACTCCTTCCTTCCACCAAGGGCTGATCATGAGTCCACAACTGCAATTCCTCAGAAGGGCCCTGTCACATGGTTTGCATGTACTGTCCCTTAGGGCCAGATCTGGAATGTTCAAGTGATAAAAAGAAATCCTGCCAAGCCTAACAGAGGAGCTTGTGCTCTGCCACAGGGCAGCTTCCTAGAAGGGTCCTTTCTCAGGGAGAAGTAGGCAGGATTGCTGAAGGCCTTTTTGGCTCCTACACTGCTCAAACTCAGAGCTGTTTGTTTCGTAGCACACTTGCATTTTGGCTTTAGCCCCACTAGTCTCTCCACCCCTGTACCTCACCCTAAGCAGCCTTCAGGAACTCATTGCCATCTTGGGGACCGCCCCTATCACAATTACATCAGCAACGGCTGGTGTAATCAAACCCCATTTGTCAGTGTGAATTCTTAGCAGATTAACTTGTCAGATTCACAGAGAAACCGTCACCAAATGTTTATGTGTAAACGATGTTGAATTTTAAAATCATGTGGATTATGGCGGATGGGGCCTGACAAGATGACAGTCTCTGGTTTCTAACAAAGTGAAGTTACCAGTGTCAAAACAGAGGATGTTTATTGTTAAAACTGTCTCAAAGTATCCACAGAAACCCCTGCAGACCCCTGCCAGCAATGCTGGGCCTTGGTTGGCCTGGGACTCTCCTTGTCTGAGGCCCAGGGTAGGAAGGATGGGGCTCCAGCCAGCCAGCTGGGAGCCCCATGTACCACACTCTACCACCACCCTACCCCATACTTACATACCCCAGGGTGCCAGTCCCCACCCAAGCAATGGAAGGGGTCTCCCATTACCCATGGCCACCACCTTCTCCCTCTGCCCATCACAGCCCTGTGCCTCCATCACACCTTCCTTCCTCCTCTCCTCTCCCACACCATCAACCCCACAGGATTCTCCCTCCCTCATCCCCCAAACAACTCCTGAGGCTGAAAGCCAGTTCTTAGCCTCCCTGCCTAGAGCTGGCAAGCTTGAAACTTCTCAGGTCAGACATGGATCTTAGCAGTCCCCCAGCCCACGCAGCAGTGAGCACTGCAGGACATTTCCTGAGCTTCGCTGTCTACAGGACCTCCTCCAGAAAATGCCCAGCCTGGAACTGAGAAGTGGACTTGCCGCCTGAATGGGCATGCCAGGGGGAGGGTATCACTTGTCTGAGTGAGTGGCCCTGCTTTAAGTTTTCTCCAGTACTTTAAAGGTTAAAGAGGAGAAGAGAGGTAATGGCAGGATTAAAAACTCTTCTAAAAAGAAAGGCAGGTATCTGTGCTGATATGAAAGATCTTTAAAGTATATAAAGTTCAAATAAAGTAAGTATGACTAGTATGATTAACATTGTTGTAAGACACACACACGCACATATACGTATAAGTACTTGTAAATGTGCTTTAAGAAATATGGAAAGAAATAAAGAACTACCCCTTAGGTATGAGACAGAGAGCTGAGAAGACAATCCTGACTCTCTGCTCTTCTATACTGTTTCATATACATGGATTAATTTAATAGAAGAAAACCAGTTGGCTACAGCCACAGAACCCCTTGACACAACTCTTCTAGGGACCCTTGCCCACCTTCTCAGAGCTCTGTTTAGCTAGCCTCTCACCACACTTAGGAGCCATGCATTTGGCTTCTGTGTATCTTTGCTTTTCTATATCTGGATGTTTCAAGCCTTGGCCTTGGAAGGAGATGTGCGAAAAAGAGTGTGGTATTGTGAGCCCAGGGCCAGCCATGCAGTCAGGAGTGAAACTGCTTCTTCAGTTCAGAGTTCTGGAAGACAAGTCTGTGGAGGCCAACAGGTTTGGGCAGCTCTCAGACACAAGGCAGAACAAAGTCCTGTGTGGGAGATGGGAGTCCAAAGCAGAAGAGCAGCCCTGGTCCATCCCGGCCCTTTCTAAACTGTAGGGGAAGGACACCCTGGACCAAGAGTCTGGGTGAAGGAAAGGACTTATGGAAAGGCTAAGAAAAGGCTGGTGTTGTCCCCTCTAGTCCCACATCCCCTTCAAAGCAATTATCTCTGCCACCTCTCCTCAGTGAAGCCCTTCTGCCTTCTGTGCCAACAGAGGAGCCAATCCGCCTCCTTCGGGAGGTGGTGCTGCTGACTGATGACCGGAACCTGCGTGTAAAGGCACTGACGAGGAATGTGCCTGTGCGGGACATCCCAGCCTTCCTCACATGGGCCCAGGTGGGCTGAGGGGGCCATGCCAGGGCCCACCCCCATGGAACCGTTCCTGAGAGGCCACCAGGCGCCAGTGTAGCACGGAAGATGCCCACGTGCCTGAGCCACCAATCCACCCAGACAATAAACCATCCTCTTCCAACCCACGCCGTGGCCGTGCTGTGAGGGAGCTGCTCCTCACAGAGCCCCTCCCAAGGGTCGGGCGGAAGCTGCTGGGACCCTCCTGGGCTGCCAGGATTTAGCAGGGAAGTGGCTGGCTACAGCAACAACAGGTGGGCAAGCCAGATAGGCCGCCAATTCTCTCAGCCTTTCTCCCTCCCATCTCATTCCAGGGCTGGGGGAAGGCCAGCTCACCCCAAGGACTCGCCACCTTTCTCCAGTGGTGATGGGGTAGAGATTTTACAGTTTCCATCAGAAGCAGGTGAAATCACGGGCCCCTTTATTCTGCAGAACCTTTGTCTTGGATGTATCCAAGAGGCTTTGGCTATGGTGACAAGAGTGCCCAGGGTGTCTCTCCATCTCCCTGAGGCCTGGATCCCCCACGGACCCAAGTTAGGTTCTGGACACCATGTCCCTAACAGCAGCCCTATGCCCCCCCACCTCTTCTAACCGCACCCAAACACCCATACCCATCCTGCTATTCCTTTCCCATCTTGTTACTCCTTTTCCCACCCACATCAATGGGTCCCTTGCACTCTGCCCCTTGGTTTCCCTTGGATGATCATGGGTCTAGAGGGAAAGGAATCTGGTCTCAGGCCCATGCTTCCTGGGTGGCCTTTACCTGTTTCCTCTCCCCCATCAGCCTGCCTTTTGCTGGAACCCCTGTGGGAAATTTCCTCAACTCTTACCATCCCCCTCCTGCCTGCCCTCCCTCCAGAATATCCTCTCACCTGCTTCCCTTTCTAGTTGGTTCCTTTCACCCTCCCCAGCCCTCCAACTTCCTCAGCTCAGTTCTTGTTGTGGAAGTTATCACTCTGAATTTTCCTCCTCTGCTACCTGTGTCAGGAACCTAATAAAACTTTCTACCTGTCTTTCCTTCCCAAACCCCTGTGCTGAGAAGCTTTGAGGCTGGTATAGCCCAGCCTGTGGGTAGAGCAGTCTAGTGCCCGGAGGGGCTTTTCCTCACCTGGCATGTTCACTGTTTCTGGCTTTGCCCTCTGCTCCCCAGAAGAACTGACACAGGGGCCCTTTAGCCTTTGAGTTTTTTCTTGCCCAGTTACCTGGTATCCATGTTCACAACCTCACACTGGAGGCGTCCTCTATCCAGTTCCTCCAAACCAAGGGTAGAGATAAAGAGGACTTAAGGAAGGCAGGGTCTGAGGTGGGACAGAGGTGAATCTTGATGGGACCAGTGGGGAAATCCCCCAACAACCCACTGACCAGGTATAGCCTGCCCAAAGGATGGGAGTTATGCCTTCCCAAAGGCCCAAAATAATGCCTGAAAGGGGGGGGGGGGCTCTGCAGCAGAGCCAAAGCCAGTAGTGTGGGGGGTCTAAGTTCCCCAGACCCTCAACTCAGAAGACTGGGCTCTTTGGGTTATAGGATCCCCAGCCTCTCCTTTAAGATCCTCTCCCTGACTGAGTCCAATGACTGGGTGGGTGGGAGACCCATCTCTTCTTTCTGTCCCATTTGCAGCACTGGTTTTGTTTCCTTAATAAATTTTTAGTTATGAAACATGTCTGACCTTTTGCTGATGTCTTTCTGGGATTGGGGAGGGGAGGCAGATCTGAGCTTGTACACCTGTATGTATGCAGCTCTTCCACCACCCTGGTGCAGCCCACCCATGTCCACGTGCAGGGGCAGAAGACAGGAGCAGGATTGGGAACCTTGGTTACTGCTTTATTGCTGTTTGGTTCGAGTATAGAAAATGGAAGCGGCTCTGAAAGAGCCTGTGTACAAGGTAGGAAATATACAAAATAGGAGGAGGGAGCTAAGGAGACCGCTTTCCAGCCCAGCCCAGGCTGGGCTCAGGATGGGGGGGCCACCCGGGGAGCATGCAATAAATATGATCCGGGGCCCCAGGGAAGGGTAAGGGACACCGTGGGAGTGGGAGATGAGGCAAGCCAGGGCTGTCTTGGCCCTGGCTCCATAACTCCTCACCTTGGTGGTTGGAGAGGAAAGGGTTGGCCCTGGGGCTAGTGCCACTTGTGCAAAATGAGGAACTTCACATTATCAGTCCCGGGCGGGCAGGAGCAGAAGGTGGGGAGCCTCCGGCTGGCTCAGTCCCCTCCCCTCTCCACAACTCTGCCCGATACTCCGACCCCAGCGGGGAGATTCACAGTGAGAATGGGTGTGGTCGCAAGGGCCGGAGGTAGGGCTGGGAGCGCCCCAACAGTGACACCCCTCCCCCAAAGAGCAGCATGGAGCCGGGGGAGGGGGGCCAAAGAACCACAGGGAGAGGCCGGGGTCTCCTTTGGTCAAATCTGATATCAAAAATATAAATCTCCCTTCCCCCATCCCACCCCGTCCTGGGGTTTTCCCCCATCCCCACCCCCAGCTAAGGCACAAAGCAGTGAGGCCAGGTGAGGCCGCAAAGAGGTGGGGCAGCCACTCAGGCGACGACGCCGCTGCTACTAGTTGTCCCAGGCACGGTGTGCCGCGCTTCTCCTTAGGGGTACGGGCCGGGCCGAGAAGCAACGGCAAGGCGAAGGCGGGCCAGCAAGGGGCGCGCTAGGTCGGGGAGAAACGGTCGATGGTCCTGCCGTCGGGTCCAGCAGCCAGGTGAGCGCCCTGGCTCAGCACCTCCGCCGCCTTGTCGGGACTTAGGCCCAGCTCCGCGGTGAATTTGGCCAGCGGGTAGAGGCTCTCGAGCGCCACCTTGGGGTCGTGCAGGAAGTGCGTGGTCTGCGCCAGCAGCTCGGCTGCAGCTGCCTTGTCCTGCTGCTTCAAGCTTAGCTGCTCAGCTGTGAGGCGAGCCACAGCAAAGACGCCTTCTGGGAAGTCGAGTTTGCCCTTGCCGTCAGGGCCAGGGACGCCCGGTATCCCCCCTAGGCCTGCAAGCGCGCCGGCAGCGCCGGCCGCACCACCAACAGCGTGCATCTTCATATGACTGATGAGGTTGCGTTGCTGTGCGAACTTGCCACCGCACACCTGGCACTCATAGGGCTTCTCGCCGGAGTGGATGCGCATGTGCTCTGTGAGGCGGTACTGGCGTGTGAAGCGCATGCCGCACGCGTCGCATGCAAAGGGCTTGAGGCCCAGGTGGCTGCGCATGTGGCGCGTCATGGTCCCCCGCTGGGTGAACTTCTTCCCACAGATGGTGCATGGATAGGGCCGGGTCAGCCAGTGCGTCTTCTCGTGCTGCCGCAACGTGGCTGGATCCTTGTAGCTCTTGTCGCAGGACGCGCATCTGTACGGCCGCAGCAGCTCTCCCAGGCCACCTGGAGCCCCAGCGACCTTGTCCCCACCGCTGCCAAAAGGGGGCCCTAAGCCGGCTGCCCCAGCAGCCACCTCAGCCGCCTCAGCCCGGCCATACAGCGCCTCCTCCTCCTCCACGTGAGCTTCCACGTGCGCATTCAGCTGCTCAGAGCTGGGGAAGCCCTTGCCGCAAGGGATGCACACGTACAGGTTGTCACCAAAGCTTTCTGGCTCTCCATAAGCCAGGTGCGGGCATGGGTAGCCTTCGAGGTGGCCTCCAGGTGGGCTGGGATCCTCGCTGCTGCCAGTCTCCTCGCTGCTGCTCTTGTAGTCGTCGCCGTCACCGCCCGCGCCGGGCCCGTCCAGGCTGCCCGGGTAGCGCGGCGGCGGCACCAGGCCGAGCGGGGGGCCCCCGGGCGAGGCTGCCACGTCCCCGCCGCGCTCCTCGCAGCGCTCGCCTGGAGAACCGCGCTCCCTGCCCAGCTCATCGCCGTAGCTACCCAGGCCCGGCTCGTGCTTCATCCAGCGGTAGAGGAGGCTGGGCCCGTCGGGGCGGCCGGGGTGCTCGGGTCCGGGGCTGCCACCGCTCCCACGGAACGGGTCCGGAGGCGGTATGGCCTCTTCCAGCTTCTGGAAGGGCAGCGGCGGCAGCGGCGGCAGGGTGAGTGGTGGCTCCTTGTAGGTAGCGGGGCCGGCGCTAGGAGGGCTGTCCGGACGCGGGGGCAGCTCACGTTCACTCAGTGGTCGCTCAGAAGCCGCAGAGCCCGGTGGGCTCTTCTTGGACAGATCCAGGCCGCAGAGCGGGGAACAGCGGCGCTCTGGGATACAGAGTGCGGTGGCTGGGCCCGGGCCCGAAGCGTACAGCTCCGCGCAGTGAGTGTTGACCGCTGCCTCGGGGCCCGACGGCGGCTCAGAGGAAGGCGGCGGCGGAGGCCCGGCCGGGGACGAGTAGCAGGCTTGGATGACCGGCGTGGCCGCCCTCAGGCCCCGGCCCGGCCTCCCGTAGGGCGCGTAGCCGCCGCCGCCACTGCCGCCTCCCCGCAGGTGGCAGTACTTGCCGTGGCGCTTGAGGCGCTTCTTACACAGCGCCACGAGGTCAGGGATTTGCAGGTAGCTGGCGGCAGCCAGCACAGCGCCCAGGCTCGGCTCGGCCCCCGGGGCCACGGCCGCTGCCGCCGCAGCCTCTGCACCGTCAGCCAGACGACCGGTGTAAATGAAGTCCAGAACCAGGCGAAATACTGCCGGGCTCACCATGTCATGGTCCAGGTTTAGCAGGTTGTCATGCACCACCAGGGACTTGAGGTAGGCGCTGCTGGCCGCCAGCACGTTCTTGTGCGCGCGGAAGAGGGCGTTCTGCACCACGATGATCACGTCGCACAAGAAGCCCTTGGTGCGCTGGTTGTTGAGCTGCAGCAACAGCTGCCTCGAGTGGCCGGGCGCCTCCATCGTGTCCAGCATCGTCTGCCCAGCACACTCTCCTGCGGGGACACACACCAGCTGGGTAAGAGCCGCGCAGCGCCCTCGCCTCCTGTACCCAGACCGGCACTCCTCCCCTCCACTTCCCCTTCCCTTCAGCTGAGCAGGGGCATCGAGCACCGCGGCCTGGGCACTGGTGGAGGAGGTTCAGCGGCCTCCTGGAATGGAAGCCTAGGCCGGCGGGCCCGAAGCAGAGTAACGAGCAGGAGGAGAACGCCTGCGGATGGAGAAGAGGCCAGGCTGGCCTGTGCGCCCCAGGCCCAGACGCTGCTGGGCACACGGGTTAGGTGCTGGGGACTTCCAAGGAGAAAACTGTTCAGGCGAAGTGACCCTTTCCGGAGACAGTTACCCGATTTAAGCAAAATGTCCGCTTCAGGAAAAGTCATTCAGGGCCGAGAAGTTTGCCCAAGTGGGGATAAAGGGAGCCGAATAGGAAACACCTCCCGCCTCGGGAGAAGTTGCCCCAGTTGGAAGAGGTGATACGGAGAACTCGAGCGCGGTGCCCACCGGCGCCGCCCTGATCAGGGGCTGTCAGGCCCTTGTTTGGGGCCGGGGCAGCGGCGCGGGGAGCGGAGGCAGCGGCTGCCGTGGCGGGCAGAGCGCGAAGGCCGGGCCCCGGCGCGGGGAGGGCGTTATATCGGGGCAGGAGGCTGAGGCAGGAAGCAGGTGGGGGGGAGGGGGGAGCCACGCAGCTCCCAGGGGAGGGAGGGGGCAGCGCCCCGGGCGGGCACGGCGAGCAGCCGGCTGCTGCCCTGACCTCGGCCTGCGCCCCACCCGCGTTCCGGCCCGGGCCTCGGCGTCAGCTGTACATTAGCGGACCCGGCGCCTTCCTCCCCAGCTCCCCTCGGCCCCTTCTTCGCCGGAACTCGGCCGTCCCAAACTTGGGGAAAAGTTTCCCAACTTCAGACAGGGCGGGAGGAGCGCGCCAGCCCCAGTCTCTCCGCTCCCAGCCTTGCCTCACGGCCCCCAACTCCAGCTGCCAGGCGGCTGCGGGGCCTGAACCAAGCCCTGAGTTCCCCTGCCCTCCAGCCCGCCCTCCCGACCCCATTCCCCGCCTGGCCCGCAGGGCCTCGCAGTCCGTTACCTGCAGCCACAGCCCGGCTGGTCTTTCCTCCCCGCGGCGGTGGCAGCTCCTAGCCTGCGCCCCACCCGCCCCACTGCCAGGCGCCGAGCTGTGCCAGGGCAGCGCCCCTGCCAGCCCCGCCCGCCAGCTCCCCTTCCCTTCGCCTTGCCTCTTCAGCCCATGTGCGGGCAGAGCCGGCCTCGGGCCGCTGACCCCGCGGTGAACCCGGCGCGGAGCAGCGGCCCAGCGGTCCTGAGCCCTCTGAGGGAGACACTCGGAGCCTAGAACGCCAGCCGCCAATCGCGATGGGGCGCCCGCGCCAGAGGATGCGCCTGAGGCGGCCAGCGCGCGAGGACCGGGCTGTCCCGGGTCCCTTGTCCCTCCCGGTCCCCAGCGCCAGGACCCACCTGGGGGGCATGTCGGAAGCCCCGGGCCCGGCTGCCGGCGGATCCAGGGGGGACGTGGCTGCGCTGTGCTGCCCTCCGCCCGCCGGGCCCCCGGTCGGTCTGTCCTGCTGGTCCGTCCTCCCCGCGTCCTGGTCGCGTCTCAGCCCCGCCGCGCTTTCCGCACACTCTTATCTGGAGCGGTCGGGGCCGGCAGGCGCTGCTGCGGCTATGGCGCCACCTCGCGGCAGTGTGGGACTCTGCGCTGGACCACAGAAACCTCTCTGGCGCACCTGGGCTGGAGACTCGCAGATGCCCAGCTGGGCAGGAGACCTATGTGCAGGTTCATTCTTCCAGATGTGTCCACCTGGACTCCAAGTCCCGAATGCAAGTCCATAAACCTTTGGATTTTGAGCTAAAATGCGTACATTTTTCTAAGAACATAGCTTCAATTAGGAAGTCTTGCC